CATGTTAAAACAACAACACTTAATGAAGAATTAGGACAAATTCAATATATTTTTTCAGATAAAACTGGAACACTTACACAGGTTTACTTTTATTTCTATTATTTATACTAAACTAATGAATTTAAATTATAATATTGAATATCTCCATCAGATTTCAAATCAAATAATTGAGAGTTTTGTTTAAAAAAATGTTTTCTAAATCAATAGTATCTGAGTACTCTCGATTTTTGATTAATGATAAGTATGATGAGAGATATTAGTTAGTTCAGAGTTGGAACCGGACGGATTTTTTTCATCCGGTCCGATCCGGCCGGACTACTTTTAACGTCAATCCGGCAAAAATCCGGTTTTGTCTGGACCGGTTAGATTTTTTATCCGGTTTGTCCGGCTAGATTTCCGTCCGGTTTATTCGGTTACATTTTTTATCCGGTTTGTCCGGGCCGGATAGATTTTTCGTCCGGTCTTGACCGGTCCGGTCGGATTGGAACCGGTTTCAACTCTGAGTTAGATACAATATTCGAATTTCAATTGAGTTTAATATATTCTTGTAAATAAAGATCTAGTAGTTGAATATCAAATTTTTCATTAATAGAATATAATGACATTTAAAAAATGTTCAATCCAAGGAAAATTATATGGATATGTTATGGATAACAATGGAAATGAAATTCAAGATCCAAATGTAATATAAAACAAATATTTATTTTTTAAAATTTCATATTTTTGATTAATTTAAGAAATTAGAATCAATTGAACTTAATGATCAAGATAAAGATTTTGTTTGGTATGATAAAATATTATTGAATGATATTGAAAATGATGATGAAAATGTTCATAAATTTTTTACATTATTATCATTATGTCATACAGTTATGCCAGAAAAAAGAGATGGAAAAATATTTTATCAAGCTCAATCACCTGATGAAAATGCACTTGTTTCAGCAGCAAGATCTTTTGGTTTTGCTTTTCAAGTTAATATAACAAATTTATTTCAATTTTCTTATTTTATTTCTTTAGAATCGTACACAAAGTAGTATTACAATTAAAATCAAAGATAAAGAAGAAACATATAATCTTTTAAATATTCTGGATTTTACGAATGAACGACAAAGAATGTCAGTAAGGTTTAGTAAATTCAAATTTTATTTTTATTATTTTTCGTATTATTTTCAAGGTTATTGTTGAAAAAGATAATACAATTTATCTTTATTGTAAAGGTGGTGATACAAAAATCAAAGAACGTTTAAATGATTCACAAAAAGATATTATGAAACAAACAGATGAACATCTTAATGTTATTATTACAATTTTTTTTATTAAATTTTTACAAATATTTGTCTTTTTAGAATTTTGCAAATGAAAGTTTACGAACATTATGTTTAGCATGGAAACAATTAGATAAATCACAATATGATCAATGGGCAACAAAATTAAATACTGCGAAGTTAGTTTTCTCTATTTGTTATAAAAATAATGATTTGAAAATTTAGTACAAGTATGGAAGAACGTGATGAAAAAGTGGCAGAAATGTATGAAGAAATCGAACAAGATTTAATTCTTCTTGGTGCAACAGCAATCGAAGATAAACTTCAAGATGGAGTTCCACAATGTATTGAAAGATTAACTAGAGCTGGAATTAAAATTTGGGTTTTAACTGGAGATAAAATTGGTTTAAAAAAAATTTTTTTTTTTTCTTAAAAATTTTTTCTTTATTTAATAATCTTAGAAACAGCATATAATATTGGTCTTTCATGTCGTTTATTAACAAATGAAATGGAAATAAAAACAATTGAAGAAAATGATGAAGAGTCAGTTAAAGCAAAATTAGAAGATATTAGAAATTCAATGATTGAAAAAATTGAATATTTATTTAATGTGAATATTGATGATCGTGACAAACGTTTAGATTGGAATCAATGGAATATAGATGTACTCAATTTTGATAAACATAGAAAAAAATCGTCAAATGATGATATTAAAATAAGAAGTACAAAATCTGTTAAATTTACTACAGATGATAAATCAATTAATGATGATGATGATGATGATATTCATCGAGAACCATTTGAAGGTTTTGCAATTTTAATAACTGGTCAAGCTTTAATTCATGCACTTTCATCGGATTTATGTATGAAATTTTTGGAATTAGCTACGATGTGTAAAGCAGTTATTTGTTGTCGAGTTACTCCAATGCAAAAAGCACAAGTTGTTGAATTAGTTATGAAACATGAAAATAAAATAACATTAGCTATCGGAGATGGAGCTAATGATGTTTCTATGATACAAAGTAAGATATTTTATATCAATATATTCACAAGTTTTAAAATTAATTTCAAATATATTTATATTAACATTAACTAACGAGGGAACCTTTTCGGGTGTTGGCTTCGGATTTCAATTATTTTCCGGCCCATTAGTACTATGGAGTGCCCTAATAAAAACCCTAAAAAGGATTTGAGTTGATATTCATTTCTTCAAAGGTTATAGCCATTCTGCTGAGTTTTCGGCCTGGTCGTGGGTATAGATCGGGAAAACCTAAATAACGAATTTCGAAGTGAAATTTCGTCCATAGATAGATATAATGATCCTAAGAATATCCTGAAAGTTTCAGCCAAAAAGAATCTTCCGTTATCGAGATATCGAATTTCCAAATGAACTCGGTTCCTATAACCGATCTGCGGCAAGCGAGTATATTTTAAAAATTCGGTATCCCGATAACGGACGATTCTTTTTGGCTGAAACTTTCAGGATATTCTTAGGATCATTATATCTGTCTATGGGCGAAATTTCACTTCGAAATTCGTTATTTAGGTTTTCCCGATCTATACCCAGGACCAGGCCGAAATTCAGTAAAATGGCCATAACCTTTGAAGAAATGTATATCAACTCAAATCCTTTTTAGGGTTTTTATTAGGGCACTACATAGTACTAATGGGCCGGAAAATAATTGGAATCCGAAACCAACACCTGAAAAGGTTCGGTCGTAAGTGGCGGATATAGGATTTTTAGGGAAGGGATGCGGTATCGATCAAAAATCGTATTATCGCCTCCATTCAGCATATATCATTGACTGATTTTCGAGTCATTTTTATTAAGAAAAATCGAGATAGAGTGCGATCGCACCTTCTCTCCTAAATTCGCCACTACATTAATGAGATAAATTTAGAGTAATTGTTTGATATTGTATTAAATAGAAGCTCATATTGGAATTGGAATAAGTGGTCAAGAAGGTCGTCAAGCTGTATTAGCAAGTGATTTTAGTTTTGGTCAATTTCGTTATTTAGAACGTCTTTTATTAATTCATGGTCGTTTATCATATGTTCGTGTATCAAAATTTTTACGTTATTTCTTTTATAAAAATTTTGCATATACATTTTGTCATTTTTGGTTTGCTTTCTTTTCCGCATATTCAGCACAAGTAAAATATAAATTTTTTAATTATAATTTATCAAATAAATTTCTTTAGAGTCTTTATGATCCAATGTTTGGTGCATTATATAATTCATTATTTTCAACATTTCCAATTATTATATTAAGTATATTTGATCGAGTATGTTTTCATTGTTTACTTCACTTTTAAAAAAAAACGAATTATTTTTTTCAGGATGTTAATGATTATTATTCATTAAATAAACCATATTTGTAAATAAAATAAATTTTTTTAATTTAAATAATTTATAAATGTTAATAAATAGATATACACCTGGTCAAACAAATCGATTTTTTAATAAAAAAATTTTATTAAAAAGTATAGTTCATGGTATTTTATCATCATTAGTAATATATTTTATTTCATATTTATCCTTATCACATAAAACCATCAATGGTCGAATAGCAGAAATTGATTTACAATCATTTGGATTTTTAATTGGAACAATAATAATAATTGTAGTTAATTTAGAAAATGCATTAGAAATATGGTATTGGACTATTTATTATCATATATCATTATGGTTAACTATTTTTATTTATTTTATATTTCATTTAACTCTTTATTCATCATTTATTGTTAAAATATTTAAACAAAATTATACATATGTTGGAGTTGCTAAATTTATTTTATTAGATTCGAATTTTTGGTTTATATTAATATTATCATCTGTTATACTTTTATTACCTCGATTTTTCAATGAGTAAGGTTTCAATTTATTTTTAAGATTAATTTTTTGTTTTTGAAAATAGATTTTATCGAATGAGATTTAATCCAAATGAAACAGATAAAGCACGATTAAATGAAAAATATCGTTATGAAGAAAAAAGTGCATTTATTCAACATATTAATTATCAAAAAAATATTTTAAGAAAACGATTACCAAGATCAAGTTATGCATTTGCACAACAAGAAGGTTGGGGACAATTAATTACATCAGGAAAAATGAAAGTTCAACAAATAGCATTTCCAAGAACTTCACAAGATAATAATGTTTGTTTTATTTTATTCAACTTCAATTTCAATTTATATTTTTATTTTAAATAGATTCATTTAAGAAAAAGTCGATTATCTCATCATCATCATCACAATCTTACAGGAACAATATAACAAGTAATAGAAATTTAATAGAATACTAGAGTCAAATGTTTTTTATCGGTATTTCTTCTTCTGATTGATAATTTATTTTATTTATTTATTTAGAATATATGTTAATTTAATCGACAAATAAAATTCATTTAAATATTTATACGAAAAATGAAGAAAACAAAATAATTAATCAAGCAAATTTTCTTTTTTATTTTTCCTAATAGTAAAATATATTTTTCTTAATTTAAATAAATTTCTATGACTAATCATAAATTAGAATTCGATATCATTAATCATTTATTTCAAATCTTAGAAAAATGAGTATTTTATTTTTATGTCTTTTTTTTAAAAAGAAATAGATATCGAAAATCGTTCTTATCATAAAGATAAAAGACATTAACCTTCTTTTTATGTCTTTCTAAGAAGAATTCGAATTGAACTGATATAACATTAATGATGTATTGAACATTGAATGATGAACTTAATTATAAAATTATCCTTGAAAAGTAAACCTTTTTTTTAAAGTAGAAAAGAAAAGGAAGGATGATTCGAAAAAAAAGATTTTCAATGTTAATTTTAATTAATAATTTTTTTTAAATGTCATATGGTTACCAATAGAGATAACATTGACATAAATCAAAATAAATGAATGTTATTATGTAATATTATGAAGTGTGACATATTTTTATTAAAAAACCTCGTATTGATTTTATTTGAAATTATCGAAGGCGAAGATTTCCTTGAATAAATTTCATTGGTAAATATGTTGTCATTCATTCTATTTATATAATGAAGAGTTGATGATCGATTGACACAATTTTTCGAAGCGACAGAGTGATGATGCATTGACCCACTCTTGAATTGAATAAAAATATCACACAATATACATAAATATTGTCTCATCATATAACATTATGCTCGATTCGAAGTAATAATATATATGCAATACACGTTTCTTTTTCTCATGTTATCGATAAAACACTGACGTATATATATATATATATGATAGATATTTCAATGTACTGTACAAAATATGATCAATAAATCTTTTATGGATGAGATTGGAAATCGAAACAAAAAAATTTCTCTTATTAATTTAAAAGATTATTCAAGAACAAATTCTCATTTTAATTCTCGAGCAAAATCATCTGAAGATCTTTTAACAAATAAGAAAAGTAAATGTGAAGAAAATCAATCAATATTTATTGATTATTCATTTATTAATCAAACAAATTTATCTAATAAAGAAGACAATTCCAATCAATATGATGATAATTCGATATTAAATCTTCCTTATTATTATGATAATATTGATCGTGAAAAAAGTGAATCAATTCTTCGATTAATAAATCGTCCAGGATGTTTTTTAATTCGTAAACATCAATATAGTTGTTCATCTTTAATTGAAAGTCCATATGTTTTATCAATAATATGTCCTTCATTAAAAATTGTTCATTATTTATTATATAGAATAAACGAGAAATTATTCATTAAACCATATTCACAAGAATTTTATCATTCAGTTAAAGATTTAGTTAATATACATAAACGAAATCCAGGTATATTACCTTGTAAACTTTTAGAATATCCAATACGTCTTTCATTAAATAATAATGATGATACATCTTTATCATCATCATCATCTTCTTGTTCATCATCTTCATCTTCATTTATTATTGATAAAAATAAATTAATTCGTCAAGAAATTATTGGTCGAGGTCATTTTGGTATTGTTTATAAAGGTTTGATTTGATTTTAAAAAGATTGAATAAATAAATATCTGATTTAATTTAATATTAAATAGGATTATATAATGGAGAAACACATGTAGCTTTAAAAACATTTTCAATTTCATGTATTTTATCATCAGATGAACGTGAATCAAATATATTAAATGAAGCACGAACAATGATGTATCTTAGTCATCCATATTTAGTTCATTTATATGGAATAACACGTTATGATAATCAACTTTGTTTAGTAACTGAATATATATCAGATGGATGTCTTCTCTTTTGGCTTCAACAACAACAACAAAAACAATTATCATTAACATCACAATTTCGTCATCGTCTTGTTAATTTTTCTTTTCAAATTTGTGATGCTATGACTTATTTAGAATCAAAATCAATTATTCATAGAGATTTAGCTGCAAGAAATTGTCTTATTGATGATGAAGCTAATATTGTTAAAGTTGGAGATTTTGGTATGGCAAGGTAAATTGAATTTATATTCAAGATTTTTTAAAACTAATTCTTCTCGTATTTTAGATTAATTCCATCATCATCATCATCATCTGATATTTATGAAGGAAGATGTGATACACCATTTCCACTTCGATGGTCTTCTCCTGAAGTTTTACTCTATAGAGAATATAGTTCGAAATCTGATGTTTGGTCTTATGGAATACTTCTTTGGGAAATTTATTCACTTGGTAAACTTCCTTATGGTGAAGTTAATTCAAATGATCTTGTTACTCAATTAATTAAATCAGGTCATATGCTTAGTAAACCTTCGTTAGCAAATCAACTTATATATACACAAATTATTTCACCATGTTGGACATTAAAACCTAATGAACGACCAGCATTTATTACTATTAAAGAAACTCTTAATAGAATTCTTATTCTTTTGACTAGACCGAAGCCATTTAATTGATTTCCCTTTTCTTTTTAAATATGAACAAACTAAAACTAATTCTTCTGTTTTTTATTCTCGATCAAATCGATAAATAAATTTATAATTGTTTTAAATCAATATCTCATCTATTCGGAATACAAAATTTGAAAATAAAATTGAATATGATTTGTACAAAGAATCTATTCGATTGGATATAAATTACAATCAATCAACTTTACTCATATTAATAAATAATTGACGCACATAAGTAAAACACGTATCTCAACGAATTTGTTTATCGAGTCGACATGTTTTTATAGAAAAAGCGATGTTTCACATGTGAAAATTCTAAATATCGTAGTTGCTGACTTTTAAATTGATTGATTGAAAAATTTCTTCCAGTATGCATCTATCAGATATAACTGACAGTTATTAGGAAAATAAATATGGGTCGACTTGTACTATAGCAAACAGAATATCAGTTTATTTCAATATTATTTTCTATACAAAAATAAAGTTTTGAGAAAAGCACGAGATCTCACAATTTCAGTCCACCGACGTAGCAGAACAATGTAATATTGCGTCTGGTATGTAATTAATTATTAGAAATGAATTACAAGTTTATAAATCTAATAAAGCTTTAAATGTAGCTTCAATTGATTGAATTAAAGATTGTTGTTGATAACCACCTTCTAAAATAAATACTAATGGAATATTTAATTGTTTTAATTTCTTTGTCATATTAAAATAACCATCTGGTGTTAATTGAGCACATTCTTCTGATTCACCTTTTGCACTATCATAACCAGCTGAAATTAATATTAATGAAGGAGAATATTGAATAATATCTGGTATAATATCATTATCGAATAGTTCAATATATTCTTTATCACCTGGAATTTGATTTTTTTTATAAAGATCAATTAATTTACAATTTGAATAAGTAATATTATTTGAATAAGATGATTTTCCAAATGCTGCATAAATATCGATCAGACGATATTTATGCTTCTTTTCATTTGATATTTGTTGTAATATTTGTTCAGTTCCTCCACTTCGATGTACATCCCAATCAAGAATAAGTATTCGATTTAATTTAAGTATTTCAATAGCATAAACAGCACCAATTGAAATTGAATTTAAACCACAAAATGTTCCAATAGAATCTGTTGATGAATGATGACCAGCTGGACGAATTAATGCAAAACCAAAATCAATTTCATTCTTAATAACTGATTCGATTAAATTAATTGTTGAACCAGCCGCTATTCGACATGCACGAGTTATTATTGGTGAAATACTTTGAAAATTATATTTTCCATTAGCATTTAAAAGTGTTCGCATTGATAATAAATTATCATCAACTATTTCTCCATGTTCAATTAATAAAAAATCGTCAAGAAATTTTTGTGAATGAACAAGTTTGATTTGTTCATTAGTAATTTCTTTTCCACAAATTAATTTCCAATAACATTTATATTTTAGCCAAAGTGAATTATGTAAATGTTCTATTATTGAAGTTAAACGTGATGGTTGTTCAACATGAAATTCTCCCCATGAATGAATAAACATTCCATCTAACGAATTAGAATCACCAGGACATATACCAACACGACGAGATGATGAATTTATTTTTGACCATGTTTCTAATATTTCAATTATTGATAATGGTAAATGAATTGGTTCATACCATGGTTTTATTTTATTTGAAATATTAAAAGTTTTCTCAGATTCTTCATTTACAAATAATTCTTCAAAACCTTCGATATCTTCATCATTCATTATTAATAAAACTTTGTAAAACAGAGTTTTATTCTATTTCAATCCACCAAAGAATAAAGTATGGATATCAACATATTTTTGTATGATGCAAAAAATAGAAAAATTGTGAAAGAACATAATAACTATATCAATGATTCATACATACTATTATTCTATACATATTTACAAAGTTTATCCATTTAAATTAAATTTTATATAGAGTAACATCTATTACGAAAATTTTCTTTTCTAATAAACAATTCTCAATTAGATATATATATATACGATATTTTTTCAAAATCATTAGAATATTCGAGAAAAATGAGATATTGTAAGTATTTTATAATCAATATTAACAAAGATATTTAGTTTTGAATGAAATTCTTGTCTATTATACTATATTTCTTTACATCAATTGATTTGTTTGTATCAAATATTGTTCTATAGATACGTTGTTCACTCTTTAATTCATGTCATAGAAATAGACAATGTATTTTAATCGATTTATGATTTAAAATGACATTTGTTAAAAATAACTTTTTGCATAAAATCATCACATTTATATGATAAGTATCTTTAAGAAATAATGTAGTTTATACAACATCATCATCATCATTTAAACGTCTACCAACTTTTATCAAGTTCATCAATATTATAGACTATAGAAATATTCATAATTACATTCTAAATGCAATTCAAGTCATGTTTATTTCTCATTAATTCAAGAGAAACAGTAGTCATTTGATTTAAGTCAAAAACACATCGAACTTTTCTATATATTTGTAAGAAGAAGTATGCACGGTCAATGCATGTCATATATCTATTTCATTTAAAGGAATACTTAGCCTGATTAGTTTTAAATATTCTCAAAAACTTTTTTTGTCTTTTGGTTGATATTTCAATGAGATTATAAAGTGACTTAGTAAGAAAACGTTGATTCAAACTTTTGATAAAACGTTATACTTATCTTTTTTTTTGATTCATTATCTTATCTTGTCTATAATCTCGAAAGAGTAATCCTTGTCAAGTAAGAAATCGAATGATTTGACCTTCTAAATATGCATATCGACAAACAAAACAATGAACCTTTTAACCCATTTAACTATACTCCGTCCATTTACAACTTTCATATTAAATACAATAACAATGACGATAATTAATCATTGAAAATTTCATATTTCATTGATATCATCTCAAAAAATTCTTTAGAAGTCTCCGAGTTATTTTTTCAAAAAACAAATTTAATGATTCATAATTATCAAATATCTATGTTGCTATAAACACGATAATCATCATCATTTTCACTTAATACAATTAGTTCATTTATATTCTCAGTATCTGATTGTAATCGCTTCTACTTCTATAGACGATTCTCGAATTGAACAATTATTATCTATGATCATTCATGTGAATCAATGGAGATCAATATACAATCAAATATAATTCATTAGATATTCAAAGTTAAGTTTTAACTCTTTGATTGTTTACAAATGATGAAAATATATCTAGAGAGAGTAGAAGAACTGTTAAAGTTTGTAATATGTATTTGTTGATGATTGAATATATATTATAATGGAAGTGAGGAGCAATTCTCTTCTTAATTTATTTTCTTTTTTATGAATAATAATTGACAAATTGATGTTGTATATATATATAAGGCAGAAAAAAGGTCAAAGAAAACATTAAATAGAATAAAACAGGATTAAAAAGAATTAAATAACAAAGAAAGACTACGATAGAATTTCATTAAAACAAAGATAAATATGAAAGAAAATGAGAGAGAGATAATGAAAATCCGATGTTTAGAACATGATTTATGTGATAAAGAAGACGTCTTTGATGTCCGGACAACACTCACTTTTATTCAATTATCTCAACTCATATCTTCATATAAATGACTGATACACAAAAAAAAAAAAAAAGAAAAAAAATGAAAAGAAAAAGAAAAGCTCACACTATTTTGTCTATTATTTCATCTAGATTTTTTTTCTAATAAGCAGCTGGCATATAACCATAAGGACCAGTAAATCCAGTGCCTGCATTTGGATCATAAAAATTCGGTTGTTGATAAGGAGCAAATGCACCTTGTTGTTGAAAAGCAGGATTACTTGGATCATAATACGGCGTTGCTGTTGGTTGTCCACTATAACCATAAAATTGTTGAGCTTGAGCTGGCAATAATCCAGCTTGTTGAGCAGCACTTAAGGGCATTTGAATTGGAGGAAGAATACCACCAAATTGTGCACCACCTTGTCCTTGCATATATTGTTGCATTTGCATCATAGCTGCTGCTTGTGCTTGTACAGCAGCAGGAGATTGAGGTGGTAATAGCATAGCTTGTTGCATTGGATCACCACCATAAAGACTTTTACTTACAGCACCATTATATTTTCCATATTTACTTGGTTTACCTTGTGGTGCAACTTGTCCATAACCATCAAAATAAGCAGCAGCACCAGTTGGATAATATGGAGATGGTGGTGTACCTGATAATGCTGGTGGACCATATCCACCAGATCTTCCACCTTTTGTTGTTGAATGATATTCATACTTATCAATTTTATCACCTTTTTCACGTTTATTTCCAAAGAGACCCATTTAGAAAAATTGTTGAATATGAATAGACAAATGTATATGTGACTGTCGTCAAATATAAATGAAAGTAAACTGATCGAATAGAATAGAGAATATCTATGTATACTCATTTTGACCCATTGATGAACGGGCAAAGTTACGCTTCAATAAACACATGTCGTCGTTGAACAAATAAGAATAATATATCATTAAACAAGAAGGAAAAAAAAGAAAATGTTAAAACAACCAATCGATATGATTTGAAATAAAACGAGAGAAGAAGAAAAAAATGAAATATGAGAAAGATCTTTTCATTGATGACACAACACGCATTAAACAATATTTTTCCGCTTATTTCTTATTTAAATATTGCAACATAAGAAAAGTACACGTTTTTACATCGGTCAACCTCAATGATGGATATGTGTGATGACAGCCGTGACGATACCCATATTCATTCATTCATTAGACGATGTGCTTAATGGATCGCATGTTGATATGATCTACTCTTGTTTAATGACATACATTTATTGTCACACTTCATCGAACACCATCAACTTCAAATTTCATTTTTATTTTCAAATTATTTCAAACTTTTCGATTTTAATTTTATCAAAAAAAAAAATAAATTTAGTTTTCATTTTATTTAATCAAATATTCATTTATTTTATCAAACAATTAAAATAATTCATCTTAAACACAATATTTTTTTTAAAAAAAATTAAATCGATCAAAGAAAAAAAATAAGAAAGAAAATCTTTTTATGCATCTGCTGGTGGAAGTTCATCAAAAATTGTTTTAAATGAAAATGGAACAAATGGATAACCTTCACCTTTATAAAATTTTGATTGAAATTCAACCCTTTAAAAAGAAAGAAAATATTTTATTTTAGAAAATTTAAAAAAAGAACAACAACAAACCAATGAAGACGAAGTGCATGAAGAAAAGCAGAAAGACCTTCCATTAAAAGTAATATAAATACAGTTAATGATGACCAGACTGTAAATACAATAAAAATTCCTATTCCACCAACTATACCATTCATCGATAATCCAATTTGTAATACCATATGCCATAAGACTTCAGATAATTCTATTTTTAATTAACAAAAAATTAAAAAAAATAAATCAAATTCGAACTAACGTGCATGAGCTAATGAAAGTGCCCAAAGACGTAAATAAGAAGCTGTATGAGATATACAACCAAGAAAATATTCGATTGTATGAATTCCTTGTTCAACCCAGACTTCACTCATATCAACCTAAAATAAATTCAAATTAGTTTTTTAGTTTGGTTTTAAATCAAATCAAAATAATCATTCGATATTTTCATCTAAGAAATTAATATTGATAAATAAATCATTTGAATTAAATAAAACAAAAGAAAGCATTAAATAAAAATAAAAAAGATAAGCTAGAGCAGCTACCCTGATTAACAAAGCTTAACATTTATTTCTTTAATGATAACCTCTGGATGATGACTAGGAACATTCATTTCAATATCATTGCTTGCAACACCATTAGGTAAACTTGGTGGATGCTTTACAAATTTTTATTTAAAAATAAATAAATAAATAAATTTAATAAGAATTGATTTACTTTATTTTTATTTTTATTTTTAATAATTGTATAAACTGGTTTTCCAACAAGTAACCATGGAATACAAAGAAGTGCAACAAATAATAAGCCTTGTTGGACAGTTTTTTGACTACTATAAAATGTTAAAGAACTTTGAGGAGTTTTCGAATCATTTGCTGGATAAGACATTAACATCATATTAATTAAATCTATTTGACAAAAAAAAGAAACAAAAGTAAAATATTTTGATTTTAAAAACATAATGTTAACATACGAATAAGAAGTGCTGGTGCTGTTGTTGCATCGACTGCTTGAAAATGTGTCCATTTATAAAATATTAAAATAATTAAATAAAAAAATATGCACATTAAAAAGATAAGTTGCGGAAAAAATTCTAAAAATACGGCATAATAATGTCGAAAATATCTAAACAAAAAATTAGCTTTATTAATAATTGAATTTATTTCTTTAAAGTAAAACTTACATATGATTCCATAAGCTAAGTATTACACCAAAACTCATTTGAGTTATACCAATAATAATTGCAAACTTCATTTTAGCAGAATTTGTAAATGTGATTTTATTTTCAGCTAATTGCCATATCTTCAAATAAAATTTATTTTTTCAATATATTAATTAATTAATTAAATAAACAAACCGGATCAAGACCTAATGGATATGGATTTCCACTATACATTTGTTTATATGTTGTTGTTCCATTGTAAGGTTGAGGATTTGGTTCTAACATTACTGAATCCGATTTAAGTAATGTTTTTTCACTTGAAAAGAAAAAAAATCAATTTTTTTATATTTAAAATCATCAAATAAATCTTTACTCAAATCCAACTCTCCATGATGATCCAAAAATATTAATAGATTTTGAAAAGACATCATTATAAATAAGACCAGTATAAATGGAAAATATTCCCATTAATAAAATAATATATCTTCCACCAAAAAATATTGTCCAAACTTCTTGATTTCTCCATTTATCTTTAAGTGAATTTTCTTTTAAAACCATCCAAAGAGCAAATGCAGTAACAATAAGTCCATGTCCAGCATCACCAAACATCACAGCAAATAAAAATGGAAATGTTATTAAAACAAATGGCATTGGATTAATTTCTCTATAAGTAGCAACACCATATGCATCAACTAAATTTTGAAAACCTTGTGTAAATTTATTTAAATTATGATATGTTGGTGGTTTTTCTTGACTTTCCATTTGATAAAGAATTGATGTACCTACTCCACTTCCACTTATTTCCTTTTTTTAAATTATAAAATTAACAAAATTTTATTTTAAATAAAACACTTACTGATCCTTTTGCTAATGATAATCGAATTAATTCTAATTGTGAATTAGGTGCCCAACATTCAGCAATAAAACATTTTTTCGCCACATCATTATTAAACATATTCATTGTATGATAAATCGCTTTAATTTTTGTAAGTTTGATTTTCCATATTTTAATTGATCGAGCTGTTTCAAGTAAAAGATTTCGACGATGTTCTTGTGTTTGATGAAGAACAATATTTAAATCTTCTAAACGTGTCATTACATTCATTGTTAAATTTCGACGTTCATTTGGATCATCTGGACATGGATAAATATTTGCACGAAAACTATTTATTTCAACATATTTTCTCTTTTCAAAAAAACATATTTTCTTATTTAATTAAACAAACCCTTCACAAATTTTTTGAATACGATTTTTTAATTGTTCACCTTGAAAAAAAACGACAAATACTGATTTATGAATTTTTGTTAGCTAAAAAGAAAGAAAAAAAATCAATTTAAAAAAAGAATGAAATTTTTTTATCGAACTGTATTAGGATCTTCAATTAATTCATCAATATCAGAATATTTTAAAACAACATTTCCACGAGAAACACGCCATAACATTCGTTCAAATGCAATTAATCGTTCACGTGGAATAACTCCACTTACAAATCTATTTAATAGAATAATTTATTTAAAATTTTTACTTTTGAATTTTATTTACCCAAATTTCATTTCACTACCACCTGTTGATACATTTGGATTGATTAATCCACTAGTAAGTTCATCTGCACTATCAAATACAATTGGATGACTTGTCTATATATTAAAAAATAGAAGTTTTTATTTTATAAAATATCGAATTTAATTGAAATTTGTAAATAATAAATAAATCATTTGAGCAAATAAATCTTAATTCTAATTGTATAGCATTAGCATAAATAATTTAAATAGAAATATTACATCATTGAAAAAACCTTCTGTCATAGCTAAATTATGTTTTAATTCGGTTAATTGATAAAAATTTTTAAAAAGTGCATCAGCATTTGTATTGATTAATTTTATATCATTATCTAATTTTTCCAAAACTGCCTATGAAAAGAAAATAAATAAATAAAAGAGTTTTTATTATCAATTCGAATATTACCTCGAGATCAATAATTTCACGAGGTTTTGGTGCATCGGGATATTCTTTGGAATCCTGGATTGGGATTTCATCAGATTTGATTTCACTTTCAAGAAAACCTTAAAAGAAAATTATTAAAATTCTATATTTGAAAGATAATTTTATTGAAATACATACGAATTTTTCGTTCCATTTCTTCACATTGTCGAACTTCATTTACGAATTTTCGTTGAAATGCATTGACATTTGGATTTAACTAAAATTATCAAATTAAAAATTATGAATTATTCTTTTTAAAATTTTAGTTTATTCTTACATCACGAAATTGAACAATTCCTAATTCACCTAATTCCGATATACAAGAATAAGCAGCATCAGGTTGTAAATACAATTGACATAATGTCATTTCTTCACTTCGAAATATATTTGTCATTGTTGCCTTTAATAAATATATCTAGAAAAAAGAAACTAATAATAATAATAATTATATTTAAATGTTTGAATTAAAATGAGAACAAATATGTAAAATATTTT